TGCAAGGTTGGGGACCAGTGCTGCCTCATGCAGCTGCCAAAGTCCCATCCACTTTCCAGACCCTCGGTGCATCCAGGCCTGGGCACCGCACTTCAGGAGGTATGTAGACAACATAGAGAGGGTCCAGAGGAGGGCCACTCGCATGATCAGGGGGCAGCTGGGCAAGCCCATCGAGGAGAGGCTATAGGACCTGAACCTGTTCAGCCTCCACAAGAGAAGGCTGAGAGGGGATCTAGTGGCCATCTATAAACTGGCCAAGGGAGACCAGCAGGCAATGGGAGAGTTCCTGTTCCCCCGAGCACTACTGGGAGTAACAAGGAATAATGGCCATAAGTTGCCGGAGAGTAGATTCAGGCTAGATATCGGGAGGCGCAACTTCACAGTTTAAAAAAAAAAAAGAAAAAAAAAATTATGTCTATGTCTACAGTCAGGGCAGCTAGGATCTGGAACCAACTTCCAAGGGAAGTGGTGCTCGCTCCTGCCCTGGGGGGTTTTAAGAGGAGGCTGGATGAACACCTTGCCGGGGTCGTTTGACCCCAGTACTCTTTCCTGCCGACAGCAGGGGGTCAGACTTGATGATCTGCTCAGGTCCCTTCCGATCCTACCAACTATGAAACTGTGAAACTTGCTGTGGCCTCGGTATTAATGCTCCGCACCAGAGGGGCACTTGGCAATTACAGCACTGCTGGCCTCTGTGCACAAGCTGTCCTCCTCTCCCTGGGGCAGGCCACTGCACCCCTGGGGAGTGCAGGCTCTGCTTGCATCCCTGCAAGCAGGCACCACATGATGGAGCCAAAGGGCTGGGTCCCTGCCCCAAGCTGTCTGGACGTGAAGCAGACAGCTCAGGGCCCCCTCCTCAAGAGGGGGAAGTTATTTCCCCAGCAGATGCACATTTAGCTAGGTAGTATTCAGATCCACAAAAAACAACCCCTGGCGCTGTAGGGACCGAGACTGGCTTTTGTGCAACACATCTCAGCAGTGGGGAGAGAGAGGCAGAACTGGGGCCAAAAATACCAGCTATCTTGGGTATTTGGCCCTATTTCCACTGTATCTCAGGAATTCAGGGTAGCTGTACCTCAACATCCGTGGAACAGGCACATGCCATTATAGACTCCCAACTTAAAGGCCTCAATGCAGGGTAACTGGGTGAAGGTCTGTGGTCTCTGTGACATGGGAGGTCAGAGTACAGGGTCTCATGGGTCCTTCTGGCCTTAAACCCATGAGGACATTTTACAAATGGGATGCAAAAGAGTTTTACAGAAGGATGGACTGGTTCATGTCACAAAGAAATCTTTGGCAGAGAATGGAATAAAATCCAGGTTTCCTGACTTCCAGCCCACGGCTTCCCAGAGCATGCTGGAGCAAACCCCCACTCCGGTACTACAATACCACAGGCTACATCTTGGGGCTATATCCTGGGGCTATATACATTTCCACCTTTATTCACAAGAGGCAGGACTCATATACATGGCCTGACAATGCAACCACGTACTCTCCCCTAGAGAGATTTCCAGCTGCTTAGCGAGTTCCAAATATAGGAAAAAAAACATTCATCTGAGTGTTTAATTTTAGTGCTAACAGCATGTGCTTTTCTACATAATGGAAGCTCCAGGCTTGGAAAGAATGTGGAATGTGCTGTAAGAGATCCAGCTCCAGACCTGCAGTGCAGGCCAGAGGGACAATTCTGTCATAACGCTTCTGCCCTTTGTGCTAGGATCCCAGCTGGACGGAGACGCTTGGTGTAAGGATGGTCACAGTCACACTCACCTCCTCCACTTCATTCACGGAAGGAGGACTGCTACTTGGGGTCGAGAAAGGAAAGCTAAACCCTCGCATGGGCCTGCAAGAGAAAACAGGACAGTCAGGTCCCAAGTCTTTCTGCCTGTGGCCCCTAAACCACAGCAAAATCCCCAGTGAAGTTCAGCTCTGCCTGCGAACACAGAGTAAGATGTAATTGGAGCGTGTCCTACAAATCTCCCCAGAACACACCCATTTTTTCTATTAAGCCAAAGATTTTTTTCTCAAAAGACCTTGGAACTCTTCCCAGGAGCTGAAGTTGCTTGGATATTGCTAAGTCTTCCAAAGCAGTTACTAGTCTAAGTGCACAGAGCTGCAGCCGCAGGCAGAATGGGCACCACCAGTTTTGCCTTCTGATAGCAGCAGCATGATCGCTTCCACACACAAAGGTGTTTAGTTACAACTACATCACAGCCCTGCAGACCTCACTGTTGGGAGACTGTCTGATACTGAGCCTAACTTTTCCCTTGTTTGTCTCCAGCCTGTTGCTCTGTCACAGCCCTACTCTCGGGGCACCCCAAGTGTACCCCAAACAATGTGCGTCTCTGCAGTGCTTGGAAAAGTATCTGTGTGCACTCTGGATGCGCACTGCATTTGTGGCGGACAGTACAGATGATAGGGTGGGACAGAACATGGCTGGGAACCAGAGGGGGAAAGGAGAAATCTCTCCCACATCAGAGGCAGCTGACACTGACACACTTGGGCAGTGTGGCTACAACAATCTCCCAGGCCGGCTCCTTCTGTACTCCAGCCCGAGCGTCACAAACCCTGCCTGCTCCTGAAATAGCAGAGGCCAAGCAAGAAGAGTTTTAGCTGCTGCAGAGGTCAGGTCAGGTCAGGTCCCGGTCACAACCTAGCTCTGTCTGAGATCACCAGGCTGAGACCCTGGCAAGGGCTTTCATTTCTTTAAACTGAGCTTCTTGATCCATCTCAGAATGCCCTCACAATTCACAACCTTGCATGAAACATTTTCTGTTTCAAAGTTGCAACTCACCTTGTTGTTTACCTAAAGTGCAGATGAGAGGGCCCTGCCTCTGCTGTTTGCAGAGCAGCATAATGGCCTGCAGATTACTGTGAATTCTGCCTGTTCTTACTAGAGGTGCATGGGAATGAACCAGTGGGATAAATGTTGGCTGCTAAGCACTTAAAACACCAGCAAAGGTGCACAAAACCAGGGCCCACAAACCACCTTTACAACAGGAAATAGTTCTGATTAATCTTAAGCAGCTGGATCGTGGAGAGCTCCCAACACGTTCAAACTGAAAGCGAGCCGACGGCCATGGAATTTTGTTTGTCCCCTTAAATGTGCCGCCTTAGCTTTGATGCATTTAGTCGTTTGCCAACCTCTGCAAGGGCTCAGCTGCTGCAAACACGGCTCTTCAGGTGGCTGCCGGCAGTGCAGCACCCCTGCCTTTCACCCCACAGAGAGGAAGCAGGTGCATTAGAAAGCGGAGAATGCTGAAACGCTGCCTGGTTCAGGAGGCAGGAACATCCTGTGGGCTCAGGGGACCCAGGCCTGAATGGGCTCCTGTGTGGGTTCACCTGCATCACAGGGCCAAAGCCTTGGGGTGTTTTTGCAGGAAATCTCTACCTGGGCTTCCTCTGCCTTTGGTTTGTACAGCTGTCTGCTCCACAGCCCATTTGGCAAGTCTCAGGCACCCCCCTGCAGAGACACTGGACACTTTGGCAGGCTCCGCCTTGCACTCTTACACAGAACCCCGCCAGCAAAACCAAGGCCCCAACTCCCAGGCTGCCAGGGGCTACCACTCATTTAAGCAGGAGCAGAGGGCGGCCAGCAGCTTGTGGGCTGGGGCCAAAGTGAGGGCCCAGACAAGCAAAGTCCCTGGGGGTTTAGGCTGAGAGAAGAGTGCAGGGCTGGCCCAAAGAGTTGAATGTAACTGGGGGGTATGGCTGGCAGGCACCAGGAGGCCCTGGGCTGGCACGGCCTCCAAGAACTTTAGTAATGCTTTGCCAGTGGAATGAAACTGCTTCCTATCATCTGGCACAAACCCAAGTGTTTGGGAAGTGAGAGCCCACCTGCTTCTCCCCCTGACCTCACACCATGTCACAGCTGGAGGCGGCCAGTGGCACCCTGTCCTCAGAGACCCCCACTTGCAAACCCTGAGGCTTATCTGGGCATACCACAGCCCAGCTTCATCACTCTCCCAGGAAGGCTGTGAAGTGCTTAGCATAACCTGGGCATTTGGAGGCCTCTGCATAGCTGAATTTAGTCAATGGCAAGACTGCTATTAACTTCAACAGGATCTAAGTCAGGCCTCTGCAGAGAGGGATCACGGGATATGGGCAGGCAGATGTTTTTAGGGTTAATGGTACAACGATAGGCAAAGAGCATAGACAAGAATGTTGGAATCACAGGGCTAGATGGGACCTCGAGGGCCATCTAATCCAAAACCCACACTGCATGAATGCAGGATGCGTGGTTCCTACACCAGCCCAGCGGCATGCTGTGTAGACTCTACTTCAACACCTGTGGTGGAGGAGCATCCACAACCTCCCCAGGCAGCTCATTCCACCATCCTACTGCTCTCACAACTAGGAAGCTCCACACCAAACACAGCACTAAGCCCCATGTACCTGGACGGAAAGCAAACTGGGTGTTGCTTCTCACACCCCAGCTCCATCTTGATACAGTGACGTGCAGTTGTTGTAGGTGGGCCAGGAGCAAGGGATGGACATTTGCATGTCCACCCCAACAGGGAAATGGAAGAAGCCATGAGCCACTCTGAGGGATATCACTTAATTTAGGGTTGGGCTGCTCACGCTTACTCCCGCGCCCATCCCCACCAGCTTTGAGGGCTGGTGGGTACTGAGCAGCATGCTGGTCACAGATGCAGCAGGCTCTCAGATTGACCAGAGGCAGCCACGCTTTTACAGTGTCATTTAAACATGAAGTTCTTCCAGGATAGAAAGGTCCAAGTCCATTGCCTGCATCCATACATGGAACGGTAAGTATACCCAGCACCACTCGTGGGATACGCAGTTCTGATTCCAACCTCGTTTTACACTCTTTCCCCCCATTCCAACCCAGACCTGGCAGAAATTCTGCATTCCTGCAAACTCTGCAGTCTTCACTCAAGCAGATCGCAGTCTTGTTTACTCCAAATCTTCTCAGTGAAGGTATCTCAATTGCTTTGGATTAAGACCAGTAGCACAGATCAGAGTGGACCCTGGCTCTGCATGCAGAGGGTGTTGGGTCAGAGCAAAGATTTATAATTAAATAGTTAATTTTCTGCTAATGTTTATTTCTCTCCCCAAGTCATCTTCATAACGAGTCCTTTCCCTTCCAAATCCCTCTGCTATTTTATATGGTTCGTTAGCTCTTTAACAGAGTCACAGAAATTTACAAGCATTCGTGGTGCTCTGGTGTGGTGCCAGAGGACTGGAAAAGGGCCAATGTGGTTCCCATCTTCAAAAAAGGGAGGAAGGAGGACCCAGAAAACTATAGGCCAGTTAGTCTTACCTCAATCCTGGGGAAGCTTTTTGAGAGAATGATCCTGGTGCATGTCCAGGAGGGGCCGGAGGGGGGAGATTATGCTAAGGGGCAACCAACACGTGTTCATTACAGGCAGGTCCTGTCAAACCAACCTGGTGGCCTTCTACCACCAGGTCACCAAATCCTTAGATGCAGGGGTAGCAGTGGACGTAGTCTTTCTGGACTTTCAGAAGGCCTTCGACAATGTCTCTCACCCTGTTCTCATTAAAAAACTAGGGGACTGTGGCGTTGACATCTACACAGTCAAGTGGGTTGCCAACTGGCTGGAGGGCTGCACCCAGAGAGAGGTGGTGGACGGGTCATTCTCGATCTGGAGGGATGTGGGCAGTGGGGTCCCCCAGGGCTCAGTCCTTGGGCCTGCACTGTTCAACACTTTCATCAGTGACTTGGATGAGGGGGTAAAAAGCACCCTGTTCAAATTTGCTGATGACACTAAGATGTGGGGGGATGTGGGCACGCTAGAAGGGAGGAATAGGCTGCAATCGGACCTAGACAGGTTACAAGGGTGGGCGGACGAGAACAGGATGGGATTCAACACCGACAAGCGCAAAGTGATGCACCTAGGGAGGAAGAACCAGCACCATACCTACAGGCTGGGGGACTCCCTTCTCGTCAGGGCAGATGCAGAAAAGGATCTCGGAGTCATCGTTGATGCCAAGATGAACATGGGCCAGCAGTGTGGGGACGCGGCCAGGAAGGCCAACCGCACCTTGTCCTGAATCCACAGATGCATCTCAAGCAGGTCCAGGGAGGTGATCCTCCCCCTCTATGAGACACTGGTCAGACCGCAGCTGGAGTACTGCATCCAGTTCTGGATCGAGGGCAGCAGGGCAGGCCCTACAAGGAGAGGCGACGGGACCTGAACCTGTTCAGCCTCCACAAGAGAAGGCTGAGGGGCATCTAGTGGCCTGTTACAAACTAGTCAGAGGGGACCAGCAGGCATTGGGGAATCCCTGTTCCCCCGAGCACTACCAGGAGTGACTAGAAATAACAGTCACAACCTGGCAGAGGGGAGATTCAGATTAGGAGGCGCTACCTCACTGTCAGGGCAGCTAGGATCTGGAACCAACTTCCAAGAGAAATGGTGCTGGCTCCTACCCTGGGGGTCTTTAAAAGGAGGCTAGACGAACACCTTGCCAGAGTTGTTTGACCCTGGTAATCTTTCCTGCCATGGCAGGGGGTCAGACTTGATGACCTGCTCAGGTCCCTTCCGACCCGACCAACTATGAAACTATGAAATACATAGGAAGTTTCTCACCTCATGGCAAGTACTCTGCAGTTGCAAGGGGTTTATTCCTTGTTAGATATGGTACAGACACTTCAGCATTCCTGGTAGCAGGCAATGTTCTGCCTCTAATGAACCTTTCTGTGCGGGGGGGCCCTTTTCCTGCAAATCCTACTTCAGATAACAGTTCTCTCTTCTGCATAATAAATAATAAGGCAAGTTCCTTACCTGGGGCCATTTCTCATGTCCATGAACTTCAGTGTTCTCACAGAGAAGTGAGAGAGAGGCCGGGACACTCGGGTAGCCAGCATCCTTCTGACTGACAAAGGGCACTAACAGCAAGCTCCTGTCGCTCTGAAATACAAGACAGCACCTCTTCTTTATTTGCTCACAGCTTCTGTAGTCATGCTGACTCCTAGCATTTTAATAATAGAGTCCAAGGAGGTTTGCTGCCCCCACCTCCTTGAGCAAGTTCCCACATCAAGATAAACAGCTAAAACAGCCTCCAGCAGCTCATGTTTGGGTTGTTGCTTTGTTTTTTAAGAGAAAAAAGAACAGAAGCAAACTGATAATCAAGTTGTTTAAAAAAATCCCCATCTTATTAGTCAGCTGCTACCTAACCTCTGCATTTCCTAAAACATTAAATGCAATTACCTGTTCAAAGGACACAATTTTAAGCCATCTTTTTGAGATACTTCTCAACTGAAATGCAGGTCCAGTACTAGGCATGATATAAAACTTACATTTTCAAAGCACTCCCTGGGCGTTATTGTCACTAGCAACCATGTGCTAAAAACGTATGCAGCTTTTTGAAATGGAAGTAGCTGGCAACACAGAACTAGCCTCAGGAAGTCACTGTGAAAGTTACTACAGGAAATCTGCACGAATGCAGGCGTTCAGAAGAGGGGGCCTGTTTCAGGGGGCTACCAGTTCTGGATAAAATAAGATCCAGCCATTTCCCCCAAAGCCTGAACTAAGCTTATCTTCTTCAAGGCTCAAGTAATGCTGCTTACTATTTTAGAGTTAATTGTACGTCATTTTAGACACGCCTAAACTTTGGGAGTTTGCCTGCAAACAGAAGCGGGCCGGAAGTGTGGCTTATTAAAGCCACGAGAAGCGCTGGTGCTGGAGCCTTTCCTTTTCGGCAAGTAGGCAGCAGCCCTGGGGGTGCTGCAGGAAAGGGCATTCCCACAGGAGCCTTTGCGTGCCCCCATTGCCAGCACAGGCCCATTCCAGGAAGCCTTGGAAGCACTTTGGGACTCAGCCAAAGGTTCCTCCGTGGCTCAGCAGCCTTAGCCAGAAGAGAAGGGGCAGGGAAAGGCAGCCCTGCCAGAAGCCCCCTGCGCGCAGCTGCGGACACCCCGAGCAGCAGACGCAGGCCCCACAGCCAGCGATACTGAGCCTGGATTTTTTAAAACAAATCTGCAAACGTTTTAAGACCATTCATAAAATCTGCATCCAGGGAAGCAGAGATAACGATAACGAGGGTGACAAAGTCTCATGCCACAGGGTGCGAGCTCCGGGTGCGGAGGAGTTTGAGCCCTGCACAGCATCGCACAACTGGCCTCAGGCAGGCGACAGGTTTCTCGGCAGGTCGCCACTGGGCTGGTGCCACCTAGGGAGGACAACTGTCACTTGCTCCTGCCCACGCGAGCCACCAGTGCCAGCCGTCTGCACGCTCCACTTACCAAGAGCCGCCTGCCCGCCCGCCGGCCACGGCCCGGAGCCGGCAAACAAAGCCACCGACACCGCTGCCTCGAGTGGAGCACGGCCCGGCCCCAAGCACAGCTGTCGTGGACGTGTCACGGGGCAATTTAAACCTCCCTGAAACTGGAGCTGTTGCAGACGGCCCCTCACCGGGGGGGCGGGGGGTGCGAGCAGCCAGCGGTGCCTTCCTGGGTCCAGTCGTCACCGGCCCCGCACGAGGCAGGTGCCAGGCAGCAGCGCGGGGATCTCGCCCACGCGCATAGTGCACACACACATACGTGTGGGAAGACGCGGGGCCGCAGGAGCCGAGGGGAGGAGGGGACAGGACAGGGTCCCGAG